CTTTATATTCCGACATTATTTATCAATATATTTCAATGGAAACTGTATATGCTAAAGTAAACTTTTTCGACATTTAACTCTGGGCACGACATTGTCCAGACTTTTTACTAACATTTTTAATTGTGATGGCGAAAACTAAATTATAGCACTTGGTGGTATTCCTCAGCAGTATCACGGGGTCTCATGTTGAACTCACGAACACGTTTATTACCTAAAAGTCAAATTCCATGAGAGAATGATGGGAGTTTTTTTTTAATTCTTCAATCATACCAGTTACAAATACATGTACATAGAATCACAGATCACAGTTACATGGTGTCTTCCCACTTAGCCAACATTTTGAAAAAATACAGGTTAAACATAGGTAAGTCGGTGTTGGCTAAGCGGGAATGGGGTGCAGGTGGAGAACAAAAGAAATAAATCACAGGTAGGCTATAGTCTGTTTAGCTATATGCTGAATAAATAGTATATAATTTTTATAAGGATAATATAAGATATTTAGTTGGTTTCTTCTCATAAATATTAAATTGTTCATATAAAAATATTTAATTTTTTTTTTTTATTTAAAACTATGATTTTTTTTTTTTTGAAATATTTCATTATTTTTAAAACTATTTTAGATGTCTTCTTATTTCAAATATAAAATAAATAAGAAATTCTCTTTCTCTAAAGAATTTTATTTAATTATACCTGGACATTGATGAAAACCTAAAATGATAAATGCTTACATTGATTTTTTTTTCATCTGGAAATATAAATATGAAAACTTGGTTAAATTATTTTTAAGAGATACATGCATATGTACTACTATACTTCAAATTCATCCTGGAAATATAATTATGAAAGTGATTTTAAATTAATTTTTTAGAGATACATTTACCATGTTTACTACTATATTTCAAATATAACATTCAAGAAAAACGCTTGTGTAAAGTAATAATATTTTATTATGAGTTTTTTTCTACATCTCACAGCAATAAATACATGTAAGACATAAATAAAACAAACAATGGATTCAAAATCAATGTTCACATGAATGAAATCTAGTTTCTACATTATTTCACCACAATCACTTGCATATTGTCACTCAAAATGAATGAGATGTGAGGCTGCGTCAGCATAGGCCACTATGTCCTTTGTCCTTGACGCAGTCTCTCCTTTAGACGCTGGAGACGTGAATCCAGTTGGCGGTATTTCCTCTTTTTGGGACGCACGATTCCTCCTGCTGTAATCTGGATGATCTTTGCCTCATTTGCCGCCTGTTCTTTTTGGAGCATCTCGATGAATACAAAGATGTTGGGATGGGCACGTCTGCACATTCTGTTGAACTTGTGGTGCCATCCCTCAACTGTGTTGGTGGTTCTATGTCCGTCGTGATCAAAATGGTTTGAGATGTCCAGATGCCCTTCAACCCAGGTCTCGGTCACGTAGTCCTTGAATCGCATCACAGCGTCGTTATTGTCATCATGGTCCTCTAAGGCTTGGAACCACACATCCTCAACACGGGGAACTGGAACAAGAGGCAGGACGGCTGCCACTTCAAAGTCAATCATCCAGTGTTCAGGTGTAAGCACGGAGTGGCGTTCGTTGACTGCGGTTTTCAACAGGGAAAGAAGACGTCTGTAAGTTGCTTCAGTCTTGTTAGGAAGCAAGGCAAACACAAGAGGGAAAACTGTCCCATCAACTTCTGCATGCAGAGTGTATAGCTGAGTGAATAGAGCTGTACAGGAGTAGAAAGTCCCATCACTAAACACAGTTGTAGCAGCACAAAGTCTCTGAAGATTGTCATCAGTGGCAAACACAATGATTCTGTTCCCTGCTTCATCTCGATCATCACACAAAAGGAATCTCTCACGAGCTAAGGTCTGTGTCCAAGGATCCTGGATGTCGATTTCTTCTTGTGTGGTAGGCAGTTTGGGCATCATTTTCCCTCGACTCCGGTACAACACAGACTTGCAGGATTGAAAGGTGGGGATCTTTCTAATCATGTCTATCACAGTGTCATCACAGTCGGCATTCCGGAGTGCTCCTAACTCTTCATCATATATGGATGGTATGGGTGCCGCTTCCTCTCTGCATCTCTTCTTCACTTTGTTGACAAAGGATTCTGCTGCCAAGCCAATGAAGTCCCCTTCATGATTGTGAGGCCGACCAAAAGACACAAGGATGTTGTTCACTGTCACAACTGTAGCTGGACACTGTCGGTCTACGCATCTCCAATATGTTCGGTCGTTGCGTGTTGTCCTCACGGAATACTTGTATCCACCATGAAGAAGATAGAATCCTCCTCTGCCGTTCTCGAGAAAGTTGACTTGCACCTGAAGATTAGCCATTTTCTTCTTCTTCCTTCTTTCTTTCTTTTTCTTTTTTGATAGTGATTTTTTAATGGAAAGTCCAGAAAACAATTAAGATCTCAAAATTTGCAAGCTTTTGATTCTGTAAATTATTGATAATAATTATGCTGATCTAGTTTAGAAGATTCTTTAAAAAACATTCAATTATAATCATTTATAAAATAATTATATACTTAACTTGTGTATCGGTAATGTTATGTACAAGCACTTTTACTAGTAAAAACACAACCATTTTTAATGATTATACATAATTATTTCTTCAAAGTGACTTAATTGTTTTTCTTTATTTTTCTATAAAAATATGCTGTGTGGTCCAAAAAATATATTTGTTTCTATTTTTTTTTTACTTAAATGATATTAATATTCTATTCATAAATTTAAATTAATTACTTTTTTGAATTAATTAATTCTCGGGTTAAATTTTGCCACTTTTTTTCATTATTAAATTATTGAACTTTAATTTTTTTTTCTTTAATTTTATATTTATTTTAACTCAAATTTTAACTCTGGTTGGTATATTTTATACACTGTTTTTATTTTCCAAAGGAAATAATTCTCAGGTAATTAATATGCATACCAGAAAACAGACTATAGACTGTTAATCACTCGGGTGTAAAAATCAAAATGTTGGCTATGTGGGAATATGATTTTTCAAAATGTTGGCTAAGTGGGAATAAACCGTAATAAATAATGACATCTCACCCACAAAGACACCGAAAGTAGGGGAACCACAACTCTTTGCTCTTTGAATTTGCTTGCTTTGTCCTGTATGTAACTGTAAAGAGTTGTGGTTCCCCTACTTTCGGTGTCTTTGTGGGTGAGATGTCATTATTTATTATAGGATTAAATGTTCTTTTTTCAGAATTTATCGATGTGTAAACTCTGCCTTTTTACTCACAAACTGAATAAAAGTGCGAAGCACTTTTATGTTAAGTTTGTGAGTAAAAAGGCAGAGTTTACACATCGATAAATTCTGAAAAAAGAACGTTTAATTCTTATAATTCCAATTACGAATTTTTAGAAATTATTAAAATTATTTCTCTTTGAGGCCGCCATACAATCCGTTATTTTGTACGGCGTAGGAATACTTTATGCCGCAAAGAAACGTATACAAGATGAATATAGATAAAATCCAACTTTATTTGTCAAAACAATCAATAATTAAACTTATAAAAACTCATTGAATGTTGTTTAAGTCAACAAATATCGTAAATACGCGTATTCTCCAAAATAATTCGTCCTTGACCATTGCCATGTTGACGTCATGACGAAAGTTGAAGACCGACGACGTCCTCGATTTGCTCTGGTTCGTTCAAAGATTTAGGGAGAATATGGGATCTGTAGGATGTAAATATATGAATTTGATGCTGAAAAGGCAAGAGTCTGAGGTACGTTTCTTTTCCCTATCACAACGATACCAACTGAGCTGATATGGAACGTCGAGAAAATGACAGCATGATCAGCGATTTAAAAATCCGACAGTGACATAAACATTATATTTCCCGTCTGTCAGTCCTGTTTATCTCTTTTCATTCATTCATTTTTTATTATAAGTTTCTTGTAATCATAATTTAGCTAAAACGGACTAGAAGTATCTGTTTTCATTGTTTTTACAACAGTCAAGAAAGTAGTTCTGGTTGAAAAATTCATCGATGTGTAAACTTTTTCTTAAATTTGTTCTCGTCCAATCAAAACACAAGGAATCAATAAATAAAATTAAGATTGGAATTATTACATATTGTGTCAAATATGAATGCTCTATCATATTTCATTGAGAAATTATCAACAGAGTTGAATTTTTGAAAATTAAGTGACCTTATTTTCAAAAATATAACTTTGGTGATAACTTCTTAGTACTGGGTATGATTGTCCATATTTGAAATCTTATGTAAGTATTAACTATTTTCGAATTGCCATTTCTTTTATGCAAGAAAATAAATACAACAGTTTTTTTGATAAATGTAATTTTAGTTAGTTTGTGCTTCTTTAGAAACACCTTTGAAGAAAAAAGAGGTCAAATGAATAAAGATTAAACAACTTTACCATGATTATTCTGATTGTGTACTTTTTGGGGAAATATGGAAGATATTTCATTCTCCAAGTCCTAGGAGAAAAAATCAAAGAGTTATCCACTTTTTCTAAAACTGAGACATGATACTAAGTCTCCTCTCCATAGAAAACAAAATTTTGTGTATCATCTGTTCTTAAGCTATTTTTACATACATTGTGTACATATATAAAAGTCAAGACTAAGATTTTCAAGTGCTTATAAATAGACTAAGAAAATGACCGTTTTTTTTCTATTTTTTTCAGCTTTCAATTTTAACGTCTTATTTGTGATGACATTAGATAAAAAATATTTTCTAGATAATTACAGTATGTACTCGTTAGACTCGATTCTGTGTGATGTCAACTAAATACAACAATGTAGATTAATAAAGTTCTATCAAATAATAACAATTAGCGCTGTATTAAACCACGCGATCAAATTATTCAAAATGAGAGACAAAAATGAAAATTTTCTTTTTTCTTATTCAATACAAAAACAACACACAAACATTTTTTTAAGAGGGGGGGGGGGGTGTGGGGGGTGTTAAGGTATGATTATGCATTGAATGAACAAAAACTGGGTACATGATAAAATAGAAAATAACATGTTTCTAAACTTGTCGAGCAGAAGGCTGGCAACAAAGTCTCAGGAATCTGTAGACTAAAGAGACCCGAAACTTCTTTCTAATAATGTCCAACTTCGATGCATAAATTAGTGGATTCAAAGCACTATTGGCGATACTAAAAGCGAAAAGGTACGTAAAGACCACGTCCTCTGACCAATACCCTGATAGGTCCACTTCGATCTTAAACAATATCACCAATACCGTAAACAAACCTACAAATGAAAGATACAAAAATTTAGCAAATTTTGAACTTCTCGTTTTACTAAAAGGTATCATAATAAATTCAAATCTTTACATCCCAAACTGATCTCGTTTTGCTAAAAGGTATCGTTATTCAAATCTTCCCATCCCAAACTGATTTGAACAAACTTGAATATTTGAATCTACACTTACTATTAAGGATGCTGGCATAATTCTTTTACTAAATGTGGCTTTTTAACTTACACTGTGTTCCCACCGTACAACCCCCCTCCCCGGTTATGATTTGAACAATCAAAATCTACACTATCTGGGGATGCTTCCATACAAATATGACAATCATGGTTTTGTTGTCCTTGAGGGAAAAAATGAAAATTTTCCTATATACCGGTATTTCAATAAAAAAATTTGATTGTCGATTGTGGCCCCATCCTACCCCCGATCAGGAGGTCATGATTTGAATAAAAAGTTGAATCTACACTACCTGAGGATGCTTACATCTAAACATGATCAATCATGGCTTAGCTGTTCTTGAGAAGAAAATTTTTCCTATATATATTTCTATGCAAAACTTTGATCGTTCCTTGTGGTCCCGCCCAACCCCTGGGGTCATGATTTGATCAATTTTAAATCTGCACTACATGAGGATGCTTCCATATAAATATAACCAATTATGGCTTAAGCCTTTGCAGTTCTTAAAAAAGATTTTTCCCATATATTCATGAGTGAAGCTTTGATCCTCCCTTATGGCCCAGCCCTACCCAGGGGTCATGATTTTAATAGAATTAAATTTACACTATCTGAGGATGTTTCCCTATAAGTTTCCTCTTTCCTGGCACAGTGCTTCTTGAGAAGAAGATTTTTAAAACAAGTCACGAAATTTTATGTGTGAACTATCCCCCCTTGGATGAGAGCGCGGCCCTTCATTTGTACAAATTTGATCCTCTTCACACAAGGATGCTTTCTGGCAAGTTTGGTTAAAATTGGCTTATTGGTTCTGGAGAAGATGCTGAAAATGTAGAAAGTTTACAGACGGACTACAGACGGCATGTGATCAGAAAAACTCACTTGAGCTAAAAAAATTTTTTAAAAAACATACCAATTGGTGCCCAACACAGGAAGTACACACCAACAATAATGAAAGTGGCCATGGCAGCCCGGATACTGGATAAACTTCTTCTCCGCGACCTTCCTGCTCTTCGTATCTCCTTGATGGCAGAAGCATGGCGATGAACAACTACCGCCATTCGAATGTAGGCACAGAAAGTACAAAGAAATGGAACGATGTGGAGCATCAAAACAAATATTATAAAAGATTCAGACATTGTCTTTAAAAAGCTGCACAGATAAAGAATATTCATAGAACTCCATCCAAAAAAGGGAAGCAACCCAACTGCAAGTGACACGATCCACACCACAACGAGGCTGACTCTCGCGCGCTTAATTGTGATATACTTCCGGTAAGTGAATGATTTACTTATTTTTATCAATCTTTCAAATGTTAGCAGCATTATAATGAAAACCGAGGCTAGGTTGAAAAAGATGAACATTCCGATTCTAAGAATGCACTCAACGTATACTTTAAACTGCAATATGTTATATGCAGTATCATAAACAACCATAAATCCAGTAAATGTGTCAGCCATTGCAAGATTTGATATTACTGTTAAAGAAGTGTCCTCATCCTCCGCCCTTCGCGCAAACAGAATAAAACATACCCAAATATTTGTTAGAACTATAAATGTTCCTGCGAAGCATAAAGCTATATTGATGGCCAAATCCTGTGGAAAAACACAGTGTCCATTAAGAGTTCGGAAAATACCGCCACATTCTGAGACATTGAAAAGTTCATAATATACTTGAGTTCTGTTTGTTTCCATAATTGTCAAAAATCAATCCACTGGGCACATCTGAATGTTATTTTAAACCCTATTTCAGTTTATATTTAGTCCATACACCAAAATGCCAAGCCGAATTTATTTCAACCCCCCATTTTGATTGATGAAGTTAGCCTTCACGGTTTCCATTTAAAGATGGTGAGAAAGAATTGTTCGATGCATGTAATTTAAGACATCAAAGCTGTTAAAAACTTTATTTTTCTGTAGACCAAATGCAGGAATTGATATATGAAATCCTAACTACATTCTAAAATGTCAAAAAATTGTAAAATAAATCAGATAAACCAATTAGCAAGCAACAAGGGGTAGATACTTATTCGCAAAGTGAACTGGGTTGCTTTCTGAAATCGAATTGAACTTTCGGCTGAAAGCTATAAATAACACTCAGTTCATTTAAAGTGGTTTCAGATTTTTCACACAAAAACAGGTTCACGTCAGTATTAATATTATTTTTCTTTTTTCCCTTTTAATCAAGGAATATTTGCAGTTTATAGACTATTACGGGCACAAAACATTAGTTTTACGGACGATAGGCCTTAATAAAATACTATAAATCTGAAATGGAAGAAGAGGAGTAAATCATTCGCTGAACAATGTTTGATGAGACCTATACAAATGTATGTATATAGTTGATACGTCTGTTACAACGCACTTTGAAAAATTACGCACTTTGAAAAAAAATTTCAAAGTGCGTTAAATTTGGGACGACATCAACGCACTTTGAAAAAATAAAATTTCTTTACAAAGTGCGTTAATATCGACCATACTAACGCATTTTGAAAAAATGTGTATGGCTTGGTCAATATTCTTCCAAATCTTAGGTATGAATAATTGAATCTGTTTGATAACTCTTTGGTGATGAGGTCACTTAAGGATATGAAAGTGAGCGATTTTGATTCTTCCATACTCTGAAAATTCTTTCTCTCTTAAATGTTTTACTGTACTTAATTTTTCCAGTATGCATGCATTTTATAAGCAAACTAAAAATTAATTGAAAGTTTTCAACGTCATACCAGTTTTACAAATACATAATATTTGGGTGTAGCATAGGCATCAGTACCGGGAAGGGGGTCTTAACAACACAAATGTTTTGCATAGATAAACGTAGAAGCATTGGAAATTGGGGCTTACCTTTGATGGGGGGGGTGGTTCCACTTTTAATTTTCTACCCACGGCTATGTACAATGTATAAGAAAAAAAGTTAGGCTGAGAGATCTTCTACTCGTCTTCTCCTTGCTCCCAATGAGGTTAAATAAGTACATGTAAATTAAAACGTTTATCGAAAGAAAAAAATTAATACAAATTGTTTCTCTCAATTACTAAGATCTCATATGTGGAGCGGAGCGGATCAGAAACCTTTGACTTGGGAAGATGGTAAAATCTAAGTATAGAGTTTTTGTTTTATACATATTTTTTTTTCAAAGTGCGTAATTTTTTCAAAGTGCGTTGCCACATACGTCCTTGTAAGAAATGATGTACTCATAGTTAAGGCTTTACATCTATGAGGACCTACATGTATGTTAGTATATCAAGTACGTCCTTGCATACTAGTACTTTTGTATATAAATTGTTTTGTGAAAAGCCAATCAAGGGATGCTTTCTTAGCAATATGTTTACTACATGCAGTTCTTATTGTGTGTTGATTTCTTTTCTTAATTAATTCAGTTCCAGGGAACCGAAAATAAAAAAAAAACATGGAAAGCTCAGGTGAGCGTGTTGGCTATGGGCCTAATGTTTTTATTAGTCCCCTGCCGGTGAAAACGGTGGAGACTATAGGTTTCCTCTGAGCCTGTCCGTCCCTCTGTCTGTCCCACTTGGTTTTTCGCTCTCTTTTTCTAAACGCTTGCAGACATTGAAATGGTTTTTGGTATGTGAGTCTATCTTGATGAGTTACAGATCAATCTTGCATTTCGTTCCCCTTCATTGATTTTTACATTTTATTTTTAGCTGTACTTGTCAGAGACCAGAAGAGCTTATGCGATAGTAATGCGTCTGTCGTCCGTCTATCAATAATTTTTCAAAATGCTACTGCTCTTACAGTTTTGGTCAAATTTCAATATAACTTGGCACACAAGTAGACTACACTAAGATACATAATTCTGTACATCGGTTTTTGATTTCGATGAACTGTGTTGCCATGGTTACTAGTACTAAAATTAGAAATTTCTTTTAAATACTTTCAAAATGCTACTCCTCCTACATTTTGGTCTGATTTCAGTATAACTCAGCACACAAGTAGATTACACTAAGGTACATAATTCTGTGCATCGGTTTTTGATTTCAATGAACAGTGTTGCAGTACTAGTGGTTACTTAAAATAGAAACTTCTGTGAAATACTTTCAAAATGCTACTCCTCCTACAGTTTTAATCTGATTTCAGTATAACTTGGCACACATGTAGACTACACTAAGATACATATTGTTTTGCACTGGTTTTTGTTTTCAATGAACGGTTTTCCATGGTAACTAAAATTGAAAATTCTGTAAAATTTGTTAAGAGCTAGTCCTACAGTTGTAGTCTTATTGCAATCATGTCACAAAAAGAGATTTAATCAAGGATCATCATTCTATTTATTTCTGTTGTAAAGCTTCAATTCCCAACTGCTTTTCTTTTCCTTTGTAATAAGTACAAACCAGTAGAGCTACAGTCTCGACAGAGACTTCTGGTTTCATAACCAATTAAAATGACCTTTACTGATCAATGCTCAATGGCAGTAAGTTTTGAGTATAGGACAAAATTTGCAGCTCTCCGCCGGCAAGTGGTGGCGTCTCCATATGAGTGAAAAATTCTCGAATGGGACGTTATACAATAAATAACAAGAAGTCTGTGAGCCGTGCTCACTAGTAATACCCCCGCTCTAAAGTGAATATACACTATCATGTTTATATGTAAACACAAATTAAGTTACGGAGAAACATACGGATAAGAGGAAGTCAACAAATGGATCCCAACATATGGCATGCCTCAGCAAAGAATGTGCTAAAATTAGTTGCTGAGAAACTGCGACGAATTTTTTTTTATGTATGCTACGGACAGACGCACGGATAATCAGGAAGTTAACATTGGATTTGAACAAAAATCCCAACATATGGCATGCCTCAGCAAAGAATGTACTAAAATTTCAAACATCTGCAATGAGCAGTTGCAGAGAAAAATGCGACGATAAATTTGTTATGTATGGTTCCTGACAACGTGATAAACAGGAAAATTGACATCGGATTCGAAAATAAAAATGAATCCTTTATCAAAATTTTTGTTTTTATTTGAAGAAATGCTTACATTTTGCTCTACATACGCATATCAGCTCACAGAAAGAGGACACAAATGATATTTCAAAGGGGTTTTAGGTAACTTTATATATAGAGCATTCTTCAGAGAAGAATATTGACACTGCAATAGATGCAACATAACAAAACAGTTGATGATGAGAACACATTTTCTCCTTTCATGTATTAGAAGAATTACACGCGTAGTATGTACATTTCAGTAAAATTGGCATTCTGAAATTACCTAATTAGCTTCTGAAATTTACACAGCTTCCCTTCACTGTTGAAATATACATATGATAGAAATGCGGCAATGTCAACTGGTGTAGTAAATAGCCAATTAAAAGTTCTCTCACGGCACAGATTTGGGGCATAAGTTTAAAATTACCCATTTAAGTTCGTCTGATCGTTATCAACAACAATTTTAAGTTCCTATGTTATTAATTTCGTAACCAATGAGAATTACTAGTATTCGCCATTACGTAGCACACGAGAAAGTCAACACATACGCATATCATCTCACAGACTTAATATTGAAAGTCCATATATAGATAGGGTAAAATAATAGATGCAATAACAAAACAGTTGATGATGAGAAACATTTTCTCCTTTCATGTATTATGTTAAGGATGAAAGAAAAGTCCTGTATTAATTAATAAACAAATTCTGTAGGAATTTCCACAACTTGGACAGTGATAATAAGTTAAATTGGCTCATGACTAATGAGGATGTGCAAATACTGATTCAAGTCAGTGAAATGATTTTGAGAGCTGAAGTATGAAAAGTGTTAGTAAACCTATGAAAGGGGTGTGTGTTTTTTTTTTGTGTTTTTTTGTTTTTTTTTTTTTTTTTTTTTTTTTTTTTTTTTTTTTTTTGGTTTTTTTTTTTTATAAATTAAATGTGCCCACCCCCATTCTCTTCCAAAATGTACAGAATGGGTGTCTTGAATACTTAGAGTACGGGTTTGCCAGTATAATCAATTGTGCAGAGGCATCGTCCTGGTACCCTCTGTGTCCAAGTTACCTTTTCTTTACATTAATTGTAGGCTACCTTCAAGATCACAGATTTACATTTATACATGATAGTACAATTAGTTTATATATATACATATATTTGTATGTAAATCAGTATTTTTGTATGCATGGGTATGTGTAAGTGTATGTTTGTGTATGTGGGTATACATATATTCAGATTAGAATGTTAAATAGCTATTGAACTAACTCCAAGAGATTAGTTTGCATCAGGTTTATAATTATATGCTTAAGTACTTATTAATTGAAATTATTATTTCTGTTAATACTTAAATGATTTTTTTTTTTGAATGAC